CATAATATCATCGCCTCCCCCCCCCCCTTCCATTCTATTTATTAACTTTTGCTGATTTTTCATAAAGAATTTAGGTGACACATTTCTTCATGAATCCATGAAAAAAGCAGTAGCCATTTTAGCTCATCAAGTAGTATGCATTTCTAAGTGAGTTTTGGAATATCCACTATCGGGCCCTCAACAAACCCCGGAGCAGTTGCTCCCACCTCTCGTCAGTCCTATCCAACCCCTTAAAATCGACAATTTTCATTACCTCTATTCTCCATGGAACTCAGTTTCACCAGTGACATGCCAATAACCAAAAAGTAATACAAAACTTTTCTCTGTTCTTCTTAGAAACGTAGATACTTCTATCGCGATTGAGGACATCACCAAGCTTCAACATAATCTCAAATTAAAGCAGTGCACAGGATCTGATTAATAAAATAAGGTAGTCTCAAATTAAAGCAGTGCACAGGATCTGATTATTAAAATAAGGTAGTCTCAAATTAAAGCAGTGCACAGGATCTGATTAAGAAAATAAGGTAGTCACCTATTCCAAGAAAACTGCTAACTATATTCTAACTCCCCAGTTTGTTCACGATATATATGTAGTTTAAATTAGTTTGTTCACGACATATATATATTTTATGCGAGTTTGTTCACGATATATATATATAATTAAAACGAGTTTGTTCACGATATATATGTAGTTTAAATGAGTTTGTTCACGATATATATAGTTTATGCGAGTTTGTTCACGATATATATGTAGTTTAAATGAGTTTGTTCACGATATATATGTAGTTTAAATGAGTTTGTTCACGATATATATATATATATAGTTTATGCGAGTTTGTTCACGATATATATGTAGTTTAAACGAGTTTGTTCACGATATATATGTATATAATTAAAACGAGTTTGCTCACGATATATATATATAGTTCAAACGAGTTTATTCACGATATATATATAGTTTAAACTAGTTTGTTCAGGATATATATAGTTTAAACGAGTTTGTTCATGATATATATATATAATTTTAACGAGTTTGTTCACGATATATATATAGTTTTAACGAGTTTGTTCACGATATATATATAGTTTTAACGAGTTTGTTCACGATATATATATAGTTTTAACAAGTTTGTTCACGATATATATATATGTATGTATATATAGTTTATACGAGTTTGTTCACGATATATATGTAGTTTCAACGAGTTTGTTCACTATATATATGTAGTTTCAACGAGCTTGTTCGTGATATATATATAGTTTTAATGGGTTTGTTTACGATATACATATATATATAGTTTAAACTAGTTTGTTCAGGATATATATAGTCTAAACGAGTTTGTTCACGATATATATATATATATATATAATTTTAACGAGTTTGTTCACGATATATATATATATATGTATGTATATATAGTTTATACGAGTTTGTTCACGATATATATATAGTTTATGCGAGTTTGTTCAGGATATATAGTTTTAACGAGTTTGTTCATGATATATATATATATATATGTATGTATATATAGTTTATATGAGTTTGTTCACGATATATATAGTTTTAACGAGTTTGTTCATGATATATATATATATTCCTTTATTTATTGAAAATAATAACATTGATATTTCTGTTGTATTGTTTGTAACAAGTTTTGGCCAGGCAGGGATTTACTAACTTTTTTTTGTAAGTGATAAAACTCGTATTTCAATTGCTTGAAAGTTTTATTTTTGATTTCTGTTGTTAAACTTTAATAAATTGTTTTGTTTGACCCTAGTTGAAGCAGAGTCTTGTTTTAGTTCATTACAGGTGTACATTGTGTTATAACATAACATAAATAATGTTTATGGGGAACAAGGGGCCTATTGGTCCATATTGGCTGTCCCATCCTCCTAAACTAAACTATTATACATTTTTAAAAAATCTTAAAGACAGCCCTTATCATTCATATAGTCATCAAGCTTTCTCTTAAACTCACTTAAATTTACTGCCTCCACATCATCTGAAGGCAACACTTTCCTTCAGCCAACCACCCTGTTAGGAAAATAAAACCCTCTTAGCTGAAGATGACTCCTGCTCTTCCAAAATGTATATTTGTGTCCCATAGTCCTACTATTCTCACTAAGTAAGAAAAAAAGAAGATGCATCAACACTATTAATTCCCTTAACAATCTTAAACACTTCAATCAGATTCTCCTCTAACTCTTCTTTTTTTCAAGAGAAAATAATTTCAAAGGTCTTAACCTTTCCTCATACAAACAACTTCTCCATACCAGGCACTATTCTAGTAACCATCCTCTGAACTCTTTCCAACAATTCAATGTCCTTCCTAAGGTAAGGAGCCCAAGACTGAACACAATATTCCAAATGTGGCCTAACCAGTAACCTATACAATAAAATTATAACCTCTTTAGACTTGTATTCAATATTTCAGTAGATACAACCTAAAATTCTATTTGCTCTACCCACCAGCAACAGCTCACTGCTTGGATGGCTTAAGAGACTGATCAACTATTAAACCAAGTTCCCTTTCCTTCATAACACTGTTAAGGTTATTCCCATCCAAATTATACTTTTCATTCAAATTATGATAACGCACTTGCATTATCTTGCATATATTATAATTAAAACCCATTTGTCATTTATTTGCCCAACTCACTAAATGATATAATTCCTTTTCTAAAGCAGGTAATATTTGTATTGAGACACTGGAGACTCGGTTATATAGGAAATTTACATTGTTTCTTTTAACAGGGTTTTGGTGGTTAGATTTGAAATCTAGATGATTGTCAATACGAAATGGCTTTCTGTAAACAGAAGTTGTGAGATGGGAGGGAATTGTCTTCTTTGATTTAAGGTTCTGCCTTCAAATTCTTCCAGTAGATGTCACTGAGAATGGGTGAGAAAGGGGAACCTAAAGGTAGATCATGACTTATAAGAATAAACTTCAAGAAAGCATCATGTAATTGGAAGCAAGTGTTGTTTGTGTACTCTGACAACAGTTCCGTCATGAGGTTAACACTTAATGTAGGTTGAAGATCTAGGCTGGTGTCTTTAGTGAGTTTCTTTTTATTATAGGAAGTGTCAGGTTGATGAGAATACAAGTCTGGTTGGTGAATGTTTTGTGTGATATTTTTGACTAGCATAGCAGAGTTGGTTGCATTGGTTTCATTATTATATTTCAGAGGATATAGATTAAGTTGTGAGCTATTTTGATAGTTCATGAAGATGGGAGCCAATGGCACTGTTTGGTTCGAGATGAATTTCGGGTTTGTGAGAATCAAGGAGTTCATAGAATTGTTGTGTTTTACTGCTGGCTGTTCATGATGATTTTGGTGATGTTCTGTGGTTTATATTTGTTAATTGATCTGTTAGTGGTCGAATCTTTTTCTATAGATTTATATGGTCATTCTTAGATGATAGTATGGAGTTGCTCAAGTTATTGTCATTTTTTCACTTAAAAAGTCTTTTTGCTTTGATATGATCACAGTAGTAAACAGGAGTATTTTGTCTTGACATGATTACAATAGTAAACAGGAGGGTTTTGTCTTGACATGATTACAATAGTAAACAGGAGGGTTTTGTCTTGACATGATTACAATAATAAACAGGAGTGTTTTGTCTTGATGTGGATATAGTAGTAAACAGGAGGGTTTTGTCTTGATGTGGATATAGTAGTAAACAGGAGGGTTTTGTCTTGATGTGGATATAGTATGATGAAAAGTGTTTGTAGCTGCTTTTAGTTTTTGTGGTAAAAAAATTATTACAATGAGCAGAAAGATAGGCAAAGCACAACATGTAACACACCATGTTTATGTGTGTCACAATATGTAACAGACAATGTTTATGTGCGTCACAACATGTAACAGACTATGTTTCTGTGTGACACAACATGTAACAGACCACGTTTATATATGTAATAAACTGTCTATGCATCATGTACTAAAGTTGTACTGAACTATATATTTATGTATACATACATACAATGTTTAATATTTATGTAATCACTTATATAGAGTTAAAATATAGTAATGCTTGCCTTTTTTACAATAATCAAATCATTCAGAACCTGATATCAGTAATTTTTTATTTATTTTACTTTCTTCTACAAAGCAACTCATATTTGTTTATTTAATTTTCAATCCCAACATGTTTATTAAATTGACACTTCAATTTTAAGCCAAACTTAATTACAATCACATATCTTCCCTGTGCTCAAAGTATTCTTATAGTGAGAACTTTGGGCTTGTTCAGATGCAATATTCAAAAAAAAAATTTTATTTTTAAGAGTGTTTCTTTTCTTTTAAAAAGGGTTAATATTTTCTTTTCAGTACAAGTAACTGACAGAATGTAAATTGTTCAAAAAATGTAATAATTACTTTCCAAAACTACCTTTCTATTTTAGAATTAAAAAGTTATTTTTGCATCTTTGGATAAAGCTCAAAATCACTAAATTTCCTATAGATGTGTAATACATGTTGTTATTTGTTTTGGCAGTAAATAAGATATTGGAAGACTTTTTAAGTTATCGGTAATTTCAGTCAAATATTGTCAGCACCAACTTTATATCTTACTTTAGACGGAAACGTGTATTCATTAAGTAATGATACAAGTGTATATTGTTTTTAAAACAATGTTTCACAAAAGATTTAAAGAAACTGTTATCTGAGAGCAGTATACAAAATAAGTGTATCTCCACTTGTGTGTGTGAGATTTGTCTTGTTATTGTTAAGAAAATATGTTTATTTTAATTATCATTGAACAAACATCTGAATGTTTTTCTTCCTTAACATAACTTTACAAACTTTAATAAACTCACAAACTATACAAGAAACTTCACACAATCTTAAGACCATAGAAAATAGCCATGCAGGTAGCAGAAAGTCCAGCAGTCACGGGTAACGTAAGCACCCAAGCGAGAATGATGGTGCGAAACAACTTCCAGTCCACTCCTTTCCGCATCCGTGTCCAGCCCACAAATACAACTGAGCCCACCTTGCAGTGAGTAGTGCTGATAGGGAAGCCAGTTTTGGATGCCAGGAGAACAGTTGCTGCTGCACCAATTTCAATAGTGAACCCACTAGGGAAAATTAGTATACATAATTATAGAAATCTTTTAAACACAAGCAAGCTTTTAATTCCTGTTCTATATAACAGAAGAAAGTTTTCAATAAATTAAAGTATAACTTGCACATATATACTGTGGGCTCACCTGGATGGAGTAATCTTCGTGAGGTCTTCTCCTAGAGTTTTCATTACTCTTCGTCCCCAGATCCATAACCCCAGACTGATTCCAACTCCTCCATATACAAGAAGGTAAATAGGAGTTTGTTCTTTTTGCTGGACATCTCCTGCTAGAAAAATCAGCCACACAGCTACTAGTGGTCCAAAGCAATTGGTGACCACTGTTAGAAACAGACTCTCCAGTATCTCACTGTAAGAGGAGCTGTTCTGGAATATGAACAATAGTCCTCTTCCGACGTCTACTAACAATTGGTGACCGCTGTTAGAAACAGACTCCAACATTTGATTAATGAACCACTTCTTATTTAAATAGTATTTAAAATGTGCTGCCCCAATCAGAAGACCTTAGGACATCTGCAGAATGTGCTGAAATCAAATGTTGTTTGTAGTTGGTTGACCAAAGAACTCCATAATGGTATATAGTTTAAACCCATAGTTCATTCTTCAAACACTGTTGCAACAACAAACCTCAGTTATCAGTGGGGTGAGTTGTAGTCAACCTTACTTGTATCATAATAGTGGGGTGAGTTGTAATGTAGATTAGTATATATTTAATATGCATGGTTAATAATGTATTTAATAATTCCAGTACCATATATTCTTAAGTTAAGTAACTGTCTTTTTTTAAGAATATGTTTCAGTAATTTATATTTTAAACATATATTTTTCCAATTGACTATAAATTAACTAGCAGTACATATGTTTTGTTACTTTCCTCAGCAATGCTATTGGACCACTAGTAGCTGTGTGGCTGATTTTATAAATTAAGTAGCAGTACATATGTTTTGTTAATTTTCTCAGCAATGCTGAGTAGACATCGGAAGAGGACTATTGTTCATCCTGTAAGAGGAGCTGTTCTGGAATGAGATACTGGAGTTTGTTCTTTCTGTCTTTCAGAAAGCAATCAAAACATCATTCAGTGAGTAATTCAACTAGATTTAGGTCATTGGTTTAAGGTGGCTAAAGCAAGTTCTTGATGTTGAAGCCACTGTTGGACACAGGTGTATTATCATACTGAAACAGGTACAGTCCTTTTTCAAAGAATTTCAACAGTGCTTCACTCAAGGCTTTCTTAACAAGTGAACCAAATCTAAGCTTACCTCTACTTATGTCCATTCTCCAGGTTTTACTGAATCCCTAACCAAAGCAAATTTATGATAGTTTTTTAACCACATCATTAGTGGTAAAGGTACTATGGGATCCAGTATCTTGCATTCATCAACTGAAGGGTAAGTAACTTTAGTTTGTTTGTTTCTGGGAAGCCACATGAGAGTTATCTGTGTTTAGTCATCACTAATTTTTGAACCAGGGTAGTCAACAACACCCACTGACAACTGTTGTACGACTGAAACATCATTCTTATAACATACATCCCCAAAGTTCTAAGAACATCTTTGCAGCAATGGGATACAAACCACGAATCCCTGGATTCACAGTCTGAGCACTCTAACCACTAGGACACAACCAGCACCAACTAGCATCAGACTGTATTTTGACCCTCCCTGGCTCTTGGTGGGAAAAACTTAAGAAACAAGCCCATTAATAACTGATAACATTATGTGTATATATTTGTCTGTGTAACTATCTATCTATATATATACGTACATAAAAGAAGAAAATGGATTACAGAAATTCATATGTATATATACATACATATATAAATCATGTTTAAATACAGGGAGAAAATATACTTTGTATTACATACTGTTTATCATCTGTGACAATGGAAATATTCAGATGCTTGTACTTGATGTAACTGAACTAACTAAATAGGTTTACAACTATTTTGGAAAGAAAACTTAGCGTAACCGATAAAGAAAACTATGACCAAGTGGTAATGCACTTTGGTTTTAAATAAAATAAAGGTCTAGCTACCACATACAACTCATTATTTCTCACTTTTGATAGATTACTCAAAGCTCTTCTAAACGAAAAAAAAATCCAAAAATAATCTAATTTCTATATTGAACAAAATTGTACTTCAGTGGCAAAAATTAGAATCAGTGCTAAGCCAATGAGACAAAGTATGAGACCTGACATCATTTCCTCCATGTGCAAAGGATCCAAAAACAGCAGTTAAAATCTGCAGAAAAGAGAAGAGACGGCGAGTTTCTGCCTTGTCATCCTGAACAGATTCTATTGAATCACTTGGTTTCTATAAAAATAAAAATACAAACATTATATAGAATTATATTTTTATTATGAAATATATCTCTGAATATTTCTTACCCTCAAGAGTTTTAATAAATTTTTTCTGTGTTTTTTATTATAATAACAGTGTAATTAACTCTTATTCACACTAATAACAAAACATGATAACAAACTGAAATTGAAACCTAAGGACCTGCGTAAAACTTACCACCTCCTGCTCTCCTGTTCCATTACTATATTGTTCATCTGCAGGTTGGTACTGGTAACTCAGTGAATGGCACTCTAATTAAGTTAAAGTAAAAAGTAATATATATATATATATGTATATAGAAAAAGAGGTGTTTAGAGATTAAATGAATAAACACTCCCCAAAAATTGATCTAAATATGTTATTTGATACAAATATCTTAGAAAAGTAAAAAAAAAATCATGTTCACACGACTTTAATGTTTATTTAATATTTATAGTAATAAACAAATTATTAAAACATTAGGTAAAATAATACATGTATGCATCATTGGTAATAATTATTATTCTAACATATAAAAACAATTAATACTAAGGTGTGAGATGTATCTTAGAAAGAAGCAGTGGATGTAAACTGTCAATCAGATTTAACTTTTGTTTGTCAACCTCAGTTATGAATTTAACTTAAAAATACTTTGGAAAATACAAATAAAATCTCCTAATGAAAAAAACATTACTTATATGAAAAACGTTACTGTACATTGTAGTAAAACTTATCTCCTGATTTTGTTTTATATAATGGTCACAATCTTTATGAATCTTAAAAGACTAGATCAGAACTTACTACTTTCTAAAGAAATAATGAAAATTGAATATTTAACCTCCAAACTTTAGTAACATAGTATGTTACCCAACATCCTATCTGACCTATATGTTGTTAATTAAGACACTAAGTTGTATTGTAATTATTAAACAGACACTTAACTGAGCATATAGGTTATATAAGAAAGTGCACAAATTACAATAAAAACCAATAGAACAGTAACAAGATTGTTTTGGTAGGTGCTAACAATTGTTATTAATGTAGTTTTCTACATGATGTTTTTGTTTTTGGCTGGAAAGCTACTACACATTTCTTTTTAATAAATAAAAAGATGAACATATTGTCTACAGATTTGATCATTACACTAGGATTTCAAAAACATTTAAGATTAATCAGAAATATGTTCTGACTGATCTGAGTAGTAAAACTTTCTCAAATAGAATAAACCACTTCAGTCTTAGTAACTCAAAAATATGTTCTGACTGATCTGAGTAGTAAAACTTTCTCAAATAGAATAAACCACTTCAGTCTTAGTAACTCAAAAATATGTTCTGGCTGATCTGAGTAGTAAAACTTTCTCAAATAGTATAAACCACTTCAGTCTTAGTAACTCAGAAATATGTTCTGACTGATCTGAGTGGTAAAACTTTCTCAAACAGTATAAACCACTTCAGTCTTAGTAACTCAGAAATATGTTCTGACTGATCTAAGTGGTAAAACTTTCTCAAACAGTATTAACCACTTCAGTCTTAGTAACTCAAAAATATGTTCACCAGGAGGCCCTTTCAGGCAGGATATTTATAAGTATGTTAGTGTGTAAGTAGAGGAAGTTCGGTGAAAATACCTGGCCGTTTCATCACGTGTACAGAGTAGATGTCTAAACAAAAGATATAATTAAAATAGGAAAAAAAAATTGTGTTAGAAAAAAGCAAACAGAAATAGCAATTTTACTAAAGCATCTATTGATGTAGAAAACACAAAGTAAAAACATAAAACCTGTTGTTGGTGTACAGTTATTATCAACTGTTTATGGACAGTAGTATTTAGCTGATGTTTAGTTAAATCTGTGTCTACTGTTTTTCTAAATATTGAAAATCTTATTAGTTTTACTGGGTAACAATAAGTTATAAAACATTCAATTAAGAACAAAAAGAAAGAAACTGTTAAAACTGGCAATTAAATAATCTATTTATTTATGATAAAAGCATAAAAAAATCTTACCTTTTTTCTTTATGATTTCAGCAATGCCATTCAATTTGTCAGCACTTTTCAAATCATTGTTTTTGGCCTTAAAAAGTCATTATCAAGTTTTTTAAATCTCACTTAGTATGTTTTGAAAAATGTTACTGTTAGTGATAGAACTTCTCTAAAGAATTGAGAACTGTAACTTGAAAATCCCTAAAGAATCATGTACAGATATACAAGATAATAAAACTTTCTAACAATTTCTTCCTTTAGTCATTAAATATTTAACAAATGGTTTGAAGCTTAAGAAACTGTATTTATGATTAAAGTTTCAAAGAAAACGTTTCCTACAAAACAAACATTCACAACTTTCCTTATCAATATTTACAGTTAACTAAATTGTTTTGTCTGATGACATAAAAAACGTAATGTTGCAAGTTGTATTTATCACGTGCAACAGAGCTCTTCCAATTTATATCTTTCGTAACATTAAAGGAGAACAGAAGTCTTTTGGTCTGTATAAATTAAACTAGGCACTAAAAAACTCAAAGCCAGCCTTTATCATCCAAATATTTATCACGCTTTTCCTTAAACTCCCCCAAATTAACTACATCTACCTTATCTGAGGGCAACCCACTCCAACCACCCTGTTAGTAAAATAAAGCTGTCTTGGGTGAAAATGACTCTTAACTTGCCAAAGTTTATACTTTTGTCCTCTGGTTTTACCATTTTCACAATTAAAAAAAGATGATACATCAACATTCCCTTAACAATCTTAACTTCTTCAATCAAATACCCTCAAACTATTCTTTTTTCAATTTCTAGAGGAAACAAGTTCAAAGATCTTAACGTATCCTCATATGAAAACTTTTTCATCCTAGTAGCTATCCTCTGAACCCTTTCCAACAATTCAATGTCCTTTTTAAGGTAACGGTCCAAAGACTGAACACAGTACTCCAAACGTAGCCTAAACAATGACATTATAACCTCTTTAGACTTTATTCAATATTTCTGTAGATACAACCTAGCCATTGTTTGGATGGCTTGAAAGACTGATGAACCAGAACACCAATATCTTTTTCTATGATAACACTGATAATTAATACTCTTAATTCAAATTGCAATATCTCACGTGCATTAATTTACGTTGATTACAATTAAAAATCATCTGCCATTTATTTGCCCAACTAAACAAATCCTTTTGTAAAGACAGTAGCATCCTCCTCTTAGCCATCAACACCCAAAACTTTAATGTCATCAGCAAACTTAAACAATCTATTGACCATTCCTTCATCTACGTCACTGTTTATGCAATCTTTCAAATGTAATCACATTATTATATTTACTAAATTCTTCTAATTTGAAGAACATATATAAAGATTGGCCTGAAAACTTGATTTTCAGTAATCACATATGCAAGGCCAAATATCTAAGGTATGAGTTTCTGGTCTAATGGTTTCACGATAAGATTTGTATATCACATCAAAATACCAAGACTACACCTGAACAGGTTATTAAAAGTCAGATTACAAATGACAAGCTGAAATAAAGACTTAACAGTCAAAGCACAGCAAGAGTATCCGATCAATTGCCTTGGAAATGTTAGTTCCTTATTCAGAGTCATCAGCATTACAATCATTATATTAACAAGAATATACTATAGGCATTGATCCAATGTAGGTTTTAAGGGTTTTGGTTCTATAACGTATAAACTTACATAGAAATGAAACTGATTTAAATGTAGATACCTTTTCTTCTTCTTGAATCAAGTTTTGACTGGACGGATGATTCAGCATAACACTGCTTCCATTCATTATCGACTGACTGTCTTCTGAAACCTGAAACCCATCCTCCCTTATAACTTTCAGTGATATGTTGTTGGTGTTTGCTTCCAAGCTCTCTGAGGAAACAAAACTAACAATACAAAAATTGTTTATGTAACTTTTATGGCTGTTAGTTCCTCTTTTCTTTATTTCTTTCTTAGCCAAGTATCGTTACTGTATCATGCACATCTCGACTAAAAATAGAATTTAACGTGAGAAATGGAACAGGTCCAAGAAACGTACTGAAGATGGGCTATAAGAAAAAAGCCTGTTTCGTGTCCAGTACCAAAAGTGCTTGTTTACTTACAGAAGGCTCAGCTATTATTCTGATTGACAAACAGGATAAACAACTGTACAAATTGTGTTTAAATTGTTTCAATGTACACAAGAAAATTCATTAAACTTTATTGTTTTTAAAGTCATAAAAAAATTAAATATATCTGAAATTATAAGACTAACTAGAAACGTGTCACAAAATTGAATTCTTAATTTTTATTAATACTCATAAAATCTTGAAAAATTTTACCAGCAACTTACCAAGGATAGTTCTCCTACAGTAGTGCATAGCACTGTACTACAATCACAGTGATAATCCAGGTAAACATAATTTACTGAATTCAACTTACCAAGGATAGTTCTCCTCAGACGAGGCACAACAAAGCACCTTACTACAATCCCAGTGATAAATGCTGTACCTAAACCAATGATCAAGGCACCCCACCAGTAGATTTCATCAAGTTTTAGTACTGCAAGAATGAAATGTTACAAGAACGTTTAAAAACATTACAAAAAGAACAATTTGGAATTATATATATATATATATATATATATATACATATAACAATGCAATCTTTATTTTCCAGTTCTTTACAGAAAAATTGGAAGATGTATTAAGTATGATAGAAAAAAAAGGATAAAACATAAGGATTTCATGACATTAAGTCACTTTTCACAGAAACAGGTATAACAGTTATGGTTTTAATGATTTTAGAGTCACTTTTCACAGAAACAGGTATAACAGTTGTGGTTTCATGATTTTAGAGTCACTCCTCATAGAAACAGGTATAACAGTTATGGTTTCATGATTTTAGTCACTCCTCAGAGAAACAGGTATAACAGTTATGGTTTCATTGATTTTAGAGTCACCCCTCATAGAAACAGGTATAACAGTTATGGTTTTAATGTTTTTAGAGTCACTCCTCAGAGAAACAGGTATAACAGTTATGGTTTTAATGATTTTAGAGTCACCCCTCAGAGAAACAGGTATAACAGTTATGGTTTTAATGATTTTAGAGTCACTCCTCAGAGAAACAAGTATAACAGTTATGGTTTTATGAACTATTTTGCTAGTAATTGCATATGTGTTGTTTTTTTATAACAATATTCAATAATATTTCCTAAAAATATTTGTACAACATTCAAGATTTTTTATTTCATATGGAATGGCAAACTGCATTTTAAATAATTAAGATTTGCATTAATTTCATTACAACTCGATAATTTTGGATTAATGTACATTAACTGAGATGTGTTTAGCATTTTTCATCAAAATTTTATTCTTGTTAATACTGAGACTGTAAATCTAAACTAATAGAGTTTTTCTGAAGTTTAGGTACAGCACGCATAAACAGAGATAAGTATAGTGTAGCTTTAATGATCACAGTAATTATACAACATTAATGTTTAGTGGAACAAACAAAAATAACGCTGTATCCATTATGATTATATTTCACTAGTGTAGTGCTGCCAGATTAAGGCAAAGGTTACTCTTTCATTTAAGAAATGGGAAAATGTACAATATTTTAGAATATTTAGAAAGGAATTCTTTGTGTACTAGAGATTTGACATTTGTAATGACCATTAAAAATGAGCTGTTTGTGTACTGGAGATTTGACATTTGTAATGACCATTAAAAATGAGCTGTTTGTGTACTGGAGATTCGACATTTGTAATGACCATTGAAAATGAGCTGTTTATGTACTAGAGATTTGACATTTGTAATGACCATTAAAAATGAGCTGTTTATGTACTGGAGATTTGACATTTGTAATGACCATTAAAAATGAACTGTTTGTGTAATAAATATCTAACATTTGTAATGACAATTAAAATGAATGTTTGTGCAATAAATATCTAACATTTGTAATGACAATTAAAATGAACTGTTTGTGCAATAAATATCTAACATTTGTAATGACAATTAAAATGAACTGTTTGTGAAATAAATATCTAACATTTGTAATGACAATTAAAATGAACTGTTTGTGCAATAAATATCTAACATTTGTAACGACAATTAAAATGAACTGTTTGTGTAATAAATATCTAACATTTGTAATGACAATTAAAATGAACTGTTTGTGTAATAAATATCTAACATTTGTAATGACAATTAAAAATGAACTGTTTGTATATCACAGATCCATAACTTATGAAGATCATAAAAAAATGATCTGTTTGGATAATAGAGATGTGACATTTATAACATCCGTTAAACATGAACTGTTTGTGTTTTACAGATCTAAAAATATCTTCAAATAATCATTTAGTACAGAAACGAATATTTCTACGTTTGTATTAAAGAATAACACACCATTTATCATACAACATAATTATCTTACTTAATCATAAGTTTCATAGATATAAAAAAACTTTAAATTGAAGTAAATACTAACCACTTGGTCCATCATGCACCACAGAAAACACATTCACAAATATCGTAAATGCATAAATAAAGGGTAAAAACATAAGGCCCACATCTAGTTGGTTTTCCTATAAGATAAGATAGAAACAGAACTCATATAAACATTAATTTCATTGTCAAAAATGTTTATGATCCTAAAACATCCATTAAACATGTTTCAATTAACATCTTATGTCTAGCTATGTAAGGAAAGTATCAACAACACTAACTTATAACAAGTTTGGATGGATATACCAACCTTCAGGTAACATCCTACATCTTTCTCTCTAGGTAAAGAATCAGCAACACTAACTTATAACAAGTTTGGATGGATGTACCAATCTTCAGTTAACATCCTACATCTTTCTCTCCAGGTAAAGTATCAACAACACTAACTTATAACAAGTATGGATGGATATACCAATCTTCAGTTAACAACCTACATCTTTCTCTCTAGGTAAAGAATCAGCAACACTAACTTATAACAAGCTTGGATGGATGTACCAACCTTCAGTTAACATCCTACATCTTTCTCTCTAGGTAAAGAATCAACAACACTAACTTATAACAAGTTTGGATGGATGTACCAATCTTCAGTTAACATCCTACATCTTTCTCTCCAGGTAAAGTATCAACAACACTAACTTATAACAAGCTTGGATGAATATACCAATCTTCAGTTAACATCCTACATCTTTCTCTCTAGGTAAAGTATCAACAACCCTAACTTATAACAAGTTTGGATGGATGTACCAACCTTCAGTTAACATCCTACATCTTTCTCTCTAGGTAAAGAATCAACAACACTAACTTATAACAAGTTTGGATGGATGTACCAACCTGCAGTTAACATCCTACATCTTTCTCTCCAGGTAAAGTATCAAAAACACTAACTTATAACAAGCTTGGATGGATGTACCAATCTTCAGTTAACATCCTACATATTTCTCTCTAGGTAAAGAATCAGCAACACTAACTTATAACAAGTTTGGATGGATGTACCAACCTTCAGTTAACATCCTACATCTTTCTCTCCAGATAAAGTATCAACAACACTAACTTATAACAAGCTTGGATGGATGTACCAACCTTCAGTTAACATCCTACATCTTTCTTTCCAGGTAAAGTATCAACAACACTAACTTATAACAAGTTTGGATGGATGTACCAATCTTCTGTTAACATCCTACATCTTTCTCTCTAGGTAAAGTATCAATAATACTAACTTATAACAAGTTTGGATGGATATACCAATCTTCAGTTAACATCCTACATCTTTCTCTAAGTAAAGTATCAACAACACTAACATATAACAAGTTTGGATGGATGTACCAATCTTCAGTTAACATCCTACATCTTTCTCTCTACGTAAAGTATCACCTTGTTATAAGTTAGTGTTGATGTAGGATGTTAACTGAAGATTGGTATATTCATCCAAGCGTTGTTGATACTTTACCTAGAGAGAAAAACTAACTTATAACAAGC